GTTTAGGGTTCAGGGTTTAGTTTTGGTTTAGCTAGCAAGCCTGTCTTGATTTCAACCAATTGCTTATCTCACCCTAAACCCTAAACCCTATAATCCCTATGAGCCCTATAACCCCTACAAACCCTATAAGCCCTCTAAACACTGTAAGCCCTAAACCCTAATCTCGGCTTATCTATTCATCTACTGGGGTTCGGGGTTTCGGTTGTTTGGCTCAGGTCTGGGGTTTCAGGGCTTGGGGCTTACCGCGGCCTACTCAAGGTTCAGAGCTTTTAGGGTTTAGCACTGGGGTTTCGGATTTAGGGTTAGAGTTCAGGATCTAGGCTTAGAGTTTAGGGTTTAGGGAGTTTAAGGTGTATTCTAGGGTTTTGAATTTACTGTTTATTCTGATTGCTTGGCTTTAAGGTGGCTAAATCTCTTCCAGTCTCACAGGGGGGGGGGGGCTCGTCACAGGCGGGAGCAAGATATTTGCAACGTTGGAAGGCTCGTCCGTCCCTGCACATTTCATCTCTACAAGCACGATCGACATCCAGTTCGGCTGACTGGAGAAACCCATTGCCAATGTCCGTCATCTCAAGTGAAGTCTCTCAAGCAAGCATCGCTCAGGCAGCGTGTCCTGTGACCCTGAAACCCTAAACCCCTAAACCCTGAACCCTTAAACCCTGAACCCCTAAACCCTGAACCCCTAAACCGCTAAACCCCTGAACCCAAAATCCTGAACCCCTAAACCCCTAAACCCCACCCTGAAGCCCTAAACCCTAACCCCTAAACCCCTAAAGCGTCAACTCTCGACCTGACAGCCTTGCTTGCATCAAAGGCCTTAAACCCAGAGAGCCCAATACAGCTTAATTGAGGAATATAGCTTAATAGTAAATTATTAGGAACTTCATATTAAGATCTAAGCTACATTCCTTATTTAAGGAATCTTGGGCTTTCTGGGCATGACTAGAGACCCTGCGCCCTAACCCAAAACCAGCCAGTCTTGGAATCCCGCGGCCGAGAACCCCTAGGCCCTAGACCCCAGACCCTAAAGGGGGTGCTCTTTTGGTCGTAGCATAGAAGTATTCTTTGTGCGTAATCTGTTGCAGATGTACTTGGAGGATCATGGGACTTAGTAAGCAAGGTTAGAAGTCCCGGAATTGGGGTTATAAGTAAATATAAGTACAGTTACCTCAGTTATAACCCGATCCTTTAAGTATCGATTCTGGGGTTGTTTCGGAAACGGGCTCCTCCAGATTGAGACCCACCAGCCCCTTCCGGGTTTAGGGTCTAGGGTTTAGGGTTTAGGGATCTCTCTCGTAGATGCTTCGTGTGGTTTCGTGCGTTTTTTCGAACCTGCGGCCTCTGATCCTTGCAGAACATTTAAAGAACTTTTTTTGGGGACGTATGCGGCCTCATACATGGTGACATGATGTGTTCTCCACCCCAAAGTCTTCAACCGTCCCCAGTCATTTCATACGTAACTGCGGAGAGGTCTAAGATGGGGGCTTAATTATTGAACCGGGCTTGGGGATATCATGATACCGGAAAAGAGCAATAAGAATAAAGCAGTTGCAGGGGACGGTGAGTTTTATAGTTATGCCAATCCCATGTACGGGCCTTCGAGACAAGGGTTTGAGGTCTCAGCTTGTTTCTCTTTTGTGCTAGTGGCTTTCCTAAACCCGAAGCTCTGAACCCTCTCTTCGATTTCGTTCATATGCCCAAACCCTAAACAAGAAACCGGAGTGCTTGTCCTCTTGCTCCCTCCTTCATGGCCATTCCCATGATCTGCATCTTCCTGGCTGACAAAGTATCAACAACGTTCGAAGATACGGCGCTGTGTGGACAAAGTGTCCCTTGCTGTCATACTTGCAATGTTAGTTCGTTAGTTCTAAGCCCTGAATCCTAGACGGCCCACGCCTAAACCCAGAATCCTTAGGCCTAACCCTATCCTTACGCAGGTCCTCCTCCTACAGCTCTGCCGACGGTTCCGCCGACGGTTCCGCCGACGGCTCCGCCGACGGTTCCGTCGGTGCCGGCACCCGCTCCGGCGCTCACACCTGGCCCTGCAGTTCAGGCAAGATTGGGTTTAGGGTTAAGGGTTTAACGGAAGTTGAAGTAACATGGCACAAAAGGTCTGTCTCTCTCTCTCTCTCTCTCTCTCTCTCTATTCGTGCTTCTGTATTCGGGTCCGCTTTTTGTAAGACTTCCCCATACATGCCGCCGTAAGCCACCTCCGCTAAACCCTAAGTAAAACCTAAAGGCCTAAAGCTCTCAACCCTCGAGCCCGAAATACCCTAAGACACCAAGACCCGAAGACCTTGAAGGCTAATCAAAGCCCTAAGCCCGAAGCTTTAAGCCCGAATCGAAGCCCTAAGCTCTAAACCGTAAACGCCCCCAAGACTCTTTCAGAAGGGCATGCTTCTCAGCTGCAGAGCCTCAAAGTCTGCACTCTCCGCTCTGCTGAGAGGTAGACTCGTAGAAACGGGCCTTGAGAAGCATCAACCTCAAGAACCAACTTTCTGCGCGAAGCCCGCAACCTAGGTGGCCAGTTGGGATATTTAAACTAATTCGCGAGGGGTCGTTTATTCGCAGTTTCATAAACTCCCGAACCGAGTAGCCCTTAAGCCTTAAATCCTAGAGAACCCCCTAAACCCTAAACCCTAAACCCTAAACCCTAAACCCTTAAACCTACTTCAGGAGCGCCGCAGCGACGGCTTGTCGTTGTTTTGCTTCGCCTGGACCGACTTGGGAGTTTGGCTTTGGAATCTTCTTATAGGGTTTAGGGTTTAGGGTCTAGGGTTTAGGGTTATAGGGTTTTTTTGATTATTCCATAGAGATTTTTGAGCTTTTGGGCTTGGCTCGTCTTGTTTGGGATTGAGTTTTTGGTTTGGGGATTTACGATCGGGTGTAGGATTTAGGGCTTGTGTTTCAAGACCTCGTGCTCCAGCGTAAACCGTAGCACCCAAGGCTTAAAGCCAATTGCTCAACGCAACGCACAAGCACGCAGGACCTTCTACAGCCGTTTGGGTCAGAGGAAGTGCCACTGAAAGCCGCTTCAATACCCCAAACCCCTCTGAGGACGACTTTGTAGCACCCAAGTGGAGCTACCATTCAGAACAGTTTGTTATGAGTCTTTCATCCCCCAGGCCCTCAGCCCGCATACCTTTGTGAAGACCTTAACCTCTTCGACTTCTTGAACTCCGCACTCCACATCCCCTAACCTCCACCCCCTGAACGTTCTAACCCCCTGAGCCCCAAACCCCGCAAAAAACCGCTACCCTGAAGCTTCGAAGGCAAAAGCCTGAGCCTACAATCCCAAATTCCTGATCTGCCTCGAGGACCCCACGTCGTGGCTACGACGAGCAGCTGCTGACAGAAGTGCGAAAGCAGCTGCTCGATCAAATCTTGGAGTTCATGGTTAATCAAGATTCTACTGCCGCTGCTACTGCTAGTGCTACAGCACCCATTTCTAGTTACTAGTTACAGTAGCAGTAATTGCTCATACTATTTTCACTACTATTGCAGCTACTATTACCACTGTCGCTATCGTATTTTCTTGTACTACTAGTACTGTTGCTGTGTTTTTTCTTATTTTTCGCTTGGTACTAATACTGCCATAAACTACGTAGTACTTGTGATCGATATAGTCGTAGTCGTCGTGGTGGGAGTCGGAGTAGGAGTAGGTGTTGGAGTCGGAATTGAAACAGGAGTAGGAGCAGCAGTAAACGTAGCAGTGGAGGTCGTAGTCGTCGGACGAATCGGACGAGTCATCGCCCTTTTTGTTTTGTACCCGGAAGCAGCCACTGACCCTCATCCCAAGGCTCAGTCATGAGAACTGAACTTAAACCGGACTCGAACCCGAGATACGCGAAATGCGACGGGCATGTGTTCTACACCGACAAAGACAGTGGTGGGGACGAGGCCGATGGGAGAGTTTAGCTGTGAAGGGGCTCAGGGACCTTGGAAAGTCGGTGATCGGGCTTTGCGAGGGCTTGGGACAGTCTTGCATTGATCTTTACCTGTTTGAGAAGCTTGGAATCAGACGGCCTGGTGAGCGGGGTATCTTGCCAGTCCTCCGTCAACAAACGCGAGTGGAGGAGGAAGGTGACAAAGTGTCGGGTGTCAATGTTAAAGGACTGGAGTCTCGGTTTGCAGAACCCACAGCAAGTGAGAAGTTGGTTGCTTGGCGCCATCTAACAGCCTAACATAGCGGTCGGAATCATTACCAATGTTATTCCTGGGATCTTGCTTCTAATCGCAGTCGTTTCATGTGTCATGTGCCCCAAAAACCTCTTCGAATTATTCAGGCCCCTCTATTAGGCGTGCCGGTGTTTGCGTTGCTGCGTTGTTTCTCCAACCGTAACCAAGCCGTAGAAGTTCGGTCACCGCTACCACCAGAAGGGTTGAGCCCTAAGCCTAAGCCCTAAACCGTAAGACCGAAATCCCAAGCCATATCGGACTTCAGAAAGAAGCCCTAGACCGTAAGCCCATGGCGCTAAACCATAGATTGCTAGTTCGTCGCGTTATTGCGAAGTACTGCCATAGATATTTCCTCTTTTTTGCGCATTTGCGATGCCTGGAGGATCCCGACTTCGTTCGGGTGGAGCTGCCTGCGCAGAAAGTCTCCCGAAGCGACAAGGGCTGGCTCTACCACAGGATCGGGCCTGAACATTGGGCTCTTGTTAAGGAACTTAGGTTCAGGTACCAGAATAGGGGTCTATTGTAAGTCATAGTTTTTCCTTATTACGGTAACTGAACAAGAACCCGGTTCGGGGTCTGAGGTAAGGGGTTCAAAGTGTAAGGATTCAGAGTTTAGGAGGCGTGCGGCTTGTGCTTGACAGCGCCCTACTCCCCTACACGCTATACCCTAAACACTCAACCCTAAACTCTCAACCCTAAAACCATATACACCCTTGACCCTACACCCTACACCCTGCACCCTCAACCCTAAACCCTAAACCCTAAACCCTAGAACCCCAAACCCTAAATCTCGACCCTGACCCTGAAAAACCCAAGCCCTGAAAGGAACATGGTGGGTCTCATGCCTGCCTGGTCGCATCTCCTCAGCCCTTCGGCGTGCAAGAAGTGACAAACTCAACGGGGGTTTTTCTAAATTCAATACGGGTTTAGGTTCATCGGATCCTAGACCAACCTAAAGACTTGCGCCCCAAACCTTAGCATACCCCTAGCCCCAGCATGACTCTGGGGCTTAGCACGGCTGCCAGCCAACGGAAGGAGTGCCCTGCTCCCGGAAACTGTCCCAAATCCTTACTGTACCCTTCAACCGACAGCCGAAATCCTTGAAAGCCATCTATTGCCTCGGGCATGAACCCCAAAGCTCTAAGCCCCTTAGCGTTTCGGATTTTTAGAGGCTGTGAAGCTTCGAAAATCGTGACCCTAGACCCCAAAACCCTAAACCCTAAACCTTTTCCCGCAGTTCTGGAAGATGCCAGGATTCCCGGCTTAGGGAAGCCGGAACAGAGCTTAGGGGGATTAGGAGGATTAGGGGGTCGAACATCGGTTTAGGGTTTAGGGTTTAGGTGTGGGGGCTGCTGCTCTCAAAGGCTGTTTGGAATCGGCCCTAAACCCTAAACCCTAAACACTAAGCCCTAAACCCTAAACCCTAAACCCTAAACCCTAATTGGGCTTCGTGCCTCGTAGACCCTCACACCCGCCCTTGCAGGCTCCAGCTTCGTCGATGCCCACGACTGGTTCATCAACAGCGAGCTTGATCACTTCCTGAGCCCAGTATCGCTCTCAGAACTTAAAAAAACTAGTAGGAGCTCATGCTTTTTTGATACCCCATACTAAACATATTATAGCGGACAAAAATTTTTTCCCCTATAATATGTTTGGTTCTCAGAACTTCTAGGAGCTCATGGCTTTTTTTTTATCCCATATAGACCCAAGGCTCCTGGAAGTATCCTCTCCAAACTGCCATGAACAAACAAACTCAAGCATCGCCGCTTTTCAATGGCGGTCCACACCTGGGCCCCTTTGGCCCTAAACCCTAAACCCTAAACCCTAAACCCTAAACCCTAAACCCTAAACCCTAAACCCTAAACCCTTAACCCTAAACCCGGCTACGTCTGCCGTTTTCAGACTAAGGCGAGGGCCCGGAAGAACATTGCTCAGTACATGGAGGTGGCGCAGGTAGCGGATTCTTGGGGAGGTTCCCAGATGTCGGGTTTACAGTAACTTAGTGGCTGAGTAGGTAACCTTTAACCTTTTGGGGCTCTTATAACCCTACTATAATTCAAAAAGCTTAACCTTTTTTGGGCTAGGGTACTCAGCCCCGAAGGTGAACCCCAGAAAGTTGGAAACCGGATTAGGACGGATAGTGCTGGAAAGCCTTATGCATTACTCTTAAGGATTGAGGCTATTGGGTTTCCAACTTTTGGGCTGCTATTGTAGGTACTTGAAGGATCATGGGACTTAGTAAGTAGGGTTATAAGTAGGGTAACTATACTTATAACCCCAATTAAGGGACTTATAACCTTACTTACTAAGTCCCATGATCCTCCAAGTATTGAGGATTTGGGGTTTGAGCCTCGGATCCGGGTCTAGGTTGAGGGTGTAGGGCTGAGGCTTCGGATGTGTTGTTTGCAAGACCTCAAGTTTTGTGGAGGGTGTAAGGTTTAGGATTTCGGTATTTGAGTTGAGAGTTTGGGTGTAGCCCAGTGAAGATCGGATTTAGGAGTGGAAGGCTCGCCAATTCGGTATACAGCTCGTCTCTGCGTGCAGTCATGACATGGCCACAATACCCAACTTCTCTGCTTATGTCTTTTTTGACATTCGGAGGCGTGTTGCCTGTCATGTCGGTACCTGCGCGCAGGAAACCCAGATCAACTGAGCTGAGCTTAAGCTTACCCTTCACCTAGGCACCCTACCTCCCCAAACTGCCCCTGAAGGAAGCAGCTCCCTCATAACCAGACCCAAGCGAAGAGGTAAGTCCGAGCAAGTATAAAGGACTGCTACTTTGAGGATCATGGGACTTAGTAAGTAAGGTTATAAGTCCCTAAATTGGGGTTATAAGTATAGTTACCCGAATTATAATCCTGTTTACTAAGTCCCATGATCCTCCAAGTACCCTTCACCTAGACAGCCTACCTCCCCAAACTGCCCCTTGAAGGAAGCAGCTCCCACATAACCAGACCCAGCCGAGCTAGGATAAAGGACTGCTAGGATTTAGGATTTAGGGTTTAGGGGTTTAGGGTTTAGGGTTTAGGGTTATCTTCCGACCCATCAGAAATCTGCGAAGCCTGAAGGCGCCGGAGGATGTGCCGATCGTCCTGATGTGGGGTAACGCTTTCGTGGGGTCCTCGTCGGCGAAGAGGAGCTTCACTTACGTTTGAGCTTAGAGGTCGAGGTTTCGTAAGGTTTAGACATGTTTAGACTATAAATGTGGCCTGGGGAAATGGATGTAAAGTGGATGTGCGAAGATGGCCGTCCATTTCCGGCTTGAGCGGAACATGGATGTGAAATGCAAGTCGCCCCTGCACCACCCTTTCGACATTGTGGTTGACAGCCCGGTGTTGTGCCGTTGGGTGGTGGGGTGGATTGGATTGGCCGGGGAGGGTGGGCGCGCCACGTGCCAAGCCTATCCGAGGGTCCAAGTAGCAACCCGCACGTGCCCACCCAATGCCAGCTTCGAGTTTCTCCACATTCCTTCTGCGCCCATTTCCAGGTCACAGCATGCAAGGATGCAGTTTTCGGGAAACTGTCCAAGGTCCATTTCTAGATTAATCGAGCTGTAAAATGCACTTCCGTAAGCCAGGTTCTCCTCAACATGGACCTCATAAGTTTAGAGGTTATCAGGGCTTTGGGCGCAACCTTTCAGATTAAGGGCGGGTTCGCTAGTGCTTAAGCACCTAGGCACCTAAGTTTTTTTCCATTGATGGAGCGCAAGCTCGAATCAGTTTCCCCTAAACCCTAAACCCTAAACCCTAAACCCTAAACCCTAAACAAAAACCGTGTAAACTTTATCCACTGAAGGTACAAGCTTAACCAGAGCCTGCAGGCCGGAAACCTCCATGGGTAGTTCTCTAAATGAGGGTCCCTTTTTGGTCCCCAATATAATACGGCACCCTTATAAAAGGACCCTAAAAGGGACCCTCATTTAGAAAACTACCCCCATGATCGAGGAATGGTCTTCATTCCCTTCCGATATTGGTCATGACATTACCGCTCCACTCACCAACTGAAGCAACAAGTATAGTAGCTCTCAACCGAGTCAGCCCTACTGCCACTGCCAAAGCAGTCCACAGATCCCTTAAGTATTCGTCTCTTTCAACCTCTTGCAGTTTCTATCGCCCTAAATCGTACCGGAAAGCAGCGCAAATCCACGGATCCCCCACCCCGATCTGGTATTTACTTAGCAGCCCAAGGTGTTCAACCGGAAGATGCTGAAGGAGTTGCTCAAGCACTGGGATAGCTTAGGCCACACCGGCAGGGAAGGAGTTACATGATGTTCGATCCCTGGAAAACTGGCGCCTACCGTGATGGAATAGGTAATCTAAGATCTACGAGGCAACGTGTGGAGGTCAGGGCCTTCAGCTGCGCATGCCGCGACAACTGAAGTCATAGAAATGCCCGGTGGAAGGGGAAGTTCATCATGGAAAGGACCCTCAAGAAGCACGGACTCTTTGAATCCCGTCAATCGTAGCAGCCGATATCAGATCCCGCAAGGTCCCCAATTCAAAAACCCTGAACCCTACAACGTCCCCAGCTTCGCTGGTGAAGGCCAAACTGCAAGTAGCAGCTCTACGGTGAAAGACGAAGTCGCTGCTGTCGGTTGCCCGCTGTCGCCGCCTTAGTCAAGGTCTCTTCAGTTTCGGGTTTGTGGGCTTAGTTTTTGGAGTTCAGAGCCTCGGGATGTAGGCATGTCTGTCTGTCTGTCTGTCTGTCTGTCTGTCTGTCTGTCTGTCTGTCTGTCTGTCTGTCTGGCTGTCTGCATTCATGCATGTATGTATGTATGTATGTATGTATGTATGCATGTATGCATGTATGCATGTATGTATGTATGTATGTATGTATGTATGTATGTATGTAACTATACAGCGTATGTATGCAGAACATGTGTATGCGCAGACCACAATCACAAAGCAAGTCGCCTGAACCCAACCCGCAATCCTAACTCTTCACAGATTCACCGGATGCTTTAAGAAGTGAATCATCCGTAGCCTTCGGAGGCAGGCAGGTGCGGGGGGTTGAATGGGTGAGGGTGCTAGGTCAGGTCGAGTGTGGAAGTGGAATCCCTTTACAAAGTACTGTACAAGGAACTTCAAAATTTTGATGGTTCAGTGCTCAATGGTTTTTGTGCTTTAACTTTCTCCGAACAGTTGGGAATGCTGAAAGTCACCCCGGATATACTTACGCAATGGTATGTCCCAGGAGTCCAAAATTTCGAAGGCCCCCTACCTCGGTGGGCTGGTTTAGGGTTTAGGGTTTAGGGTTTAGGGTTTAGGGTTTAGGGTGTAGGGTTTAGGGTTTAGGGTTTAGGGTTTAGGGTTCAGGGTTTAGGGTTTAGGGTTTCTTGTGGCGTGCAGTGATTCAGGTTCATGAAGGGGAAGTCGGAGTGGCCACACTCCTGCTCCCAAGATATCATCTACCCTGCGCTGGTCGGCGGCTGAGACTTCGGCGGCGATGCCCTGCACCCTGAATTTGGGTTTAGGGTTTTGGGTTTAGGGTTTAGTTGGGTTTGAGTCCTGTGTTTAGGGTTTGGGGTTTCTCCTTCATTAGACCCTGAAGCCGAAACCTCAAGAAGTTCTGAGAGGTTTTTCGTGCACGTGTGACCACCGGCCAAACAATCCCCAACGGTTTAGGGTTTAGGGTTTGTAAGGTTTAGGGTTTAGGGTTTAGGGTTTGGGGCAAACTCAACACACTGATCTTCGCTGAGCATAGATTTGCTGAGCTGCTGCCTCTTGCCAGATGAACAACTCTTAGAAGAAGCGGAGTATAGGGGCCTGAATATTTAGAATAAGGTTTGGGGGCCCATTATACCATCATTATAATGAGGAACCCCCCCAAAATAGTATTACAAGTTATTTAGGCCCCTAACATTTGCACCACGAGCTTCAAACCCCTAAACCCCCAAACTTTTCGACTCCTAAGCCCGGAGCCTCCAAGAATGCATGACATCAGAATCATAGAGGTAGGTCCCAAACCCTAAACTCCAAGTCCTAAGAATCCTAAACTCTGGACCTATGAAGCCCCGGCCACCTTCCCTAGGTGCTAAAAAAAACCCTAAACCCTAAACCCTGAACCCTAAACCCTAAACCCTGAACCCTAAACCCTAAACCCTAAACCCTAAACCCCAAAAAAGACCCATGATGCCAGAGCCTTTGAGGCCTGGGACGTCTTGCCGAAGCGCGCGAAGGTCAAAGTGACCACGCTGGGAGATCCTGGCTGCGGGCACCTTAGATGGCCATCGGGAGAACTTTAAACTTTTTGGGTTTAGGGTTTAGGGTTTAGGGTTTAGGGTTTAGGGTTTAGGGTTTAGGGTTTAGGGTTTAGGGTTTATGTATTAGGTCTATCCTAAAAAGTTCGAGCTTTTTTGTGCCTGGTTGTTGAAGAAGAGAGGCACCCGGCGAAGTACAAGGGCAAGGACGTGTTGCGGCATGCGTTTGGGGTGTGGGTTTGGGGCTTTAGGGGTTTAGGGGTTTAGGGGTTTAGGGGTTTAGGGTTTTAGGGTTTAGGGTTTAGGGTTTGGGGTTTAATATAGGGGCCGCGGCCTAAATGATTACGAGTACTATTTTGGGGTTCCCTGATTATAATATCGACCCTAAAACCCCATTCCAATTATTAAGGCCCTTAGATTAGGGTAGAATACAGAAGCCTGGGTTCTTAATATAAGCATAAAAAAGCCCGCTCAAATCATTTCAAAGCCCTGTTAGTCATTAAGACCCTACGTTTGCCACTATGACTCCACTGTTCGAGCTTGAAGTACTTGAACTCAAAATTAACTTGCCTGCTTAAGGATTTAGACAAGGAGCATCGCAAACCACATCCACGGACTCCCGAATATCCACCGGGGTTCTCATGTTCGTCACCCCACCAACTCCTGACTGAATCCCAACCCTAAACCCTAAACCGTAAACCCTAAACCCTAAACCCTAAGCCTCCGCAACCGTCACAGGATCTCACCCTGGGATGCTGGGAAATGCAGCAGAACCCTTGGGGCGGAGAGTCGAAAGAAGGCAGGCCTTGGAGCCTTAAATGCTAAACCCCAAACCCTAAACCCTAAACCCTAAACCCTAAACCCTAAACCCTAAACCCTAAACCCTAAACCCTAAACCCTGAACCCTAAACCCTAAACCCTAAACGGTAAACGGTAGGGTTAAACCGTACTTGGAGGATCATGGGACTTAGTAAGTAAGGTTATAAGTCCCTTAATTGGGGGTATTAGTATAGCTACCCTAATTATAACCCTATTTACTAAGTCCCATGGTCCTTTAAGTAGCGTTGGCCGGGGCTTTAGGGTTTAGGAGTCCCTAAACCCTAAACCCTAAACCCTAAACCCTAAACCCTAAACCCTAAACCCTAAACCGTAGGGTTGGCCGGGGCTTTCAGTGCACTCCTCGGGCTGATGAGGTGCGAAACCCCTTCTGAAGCAGGCAAAGATCTGAAGCGCCCAGCTCCGAACCCCAAAATCCCCAAGTCTAACTCCTGCTGGTTTAGGGTTCAGGGTTTGGGGTTTAGGGTTTGGGGTTTTAGGGTTTAGGGTTTAGGGTTTAGGGTTTAGGGTTTAGGGTTTAGGGGCTCCTAAACCCTAAACCTTCAAACTCTTGGACCCCAACAAAAACCGGTCCAGGCGAGCTGAATGCCATCAGAGTCTTGGCGGAGATGGAGAACATGGATGAGGCGCAGCTCGAAAGGCTTTGCTGTATACGGTTCAGTTAGGGTTTAGGGCTTCCTAAGAGTTCGAACTCGAGGAGTGCAGGCTTTGTGGGCTTAGAGTTTAGAATCTGATGGTGCAAGTGTATTGGGTTTAGGTTCCATGCGCACGTCTTATCGAATGTTCAGATATCTTTGTCGTTATTATCTATTGGGTTGGCATTATGATGAGTCTGTAATGGTCAGCGGATTGTATCGTATTTGCCAGCACTGAACCCTAGACCGAAATCGTCATGTGCACAAAGGGAACTTTGTGCCCCACGCTTCTCGCGCTGCACGGTGAAATGCTCATGCTAAACCTCCAGACCCGAACACTAAGCCTTCGGTGGGCACGTGCGGCGGCATTCGGAGCAAGTGGTAATGCTACTGAAAGTTGCAAGAATGTTGAGCAGTGTTTCTCTGTGAGAATCGTTCAAAA